AAACATCTTTCTTGTACCAGTGAAAGAAGTGAGGCAAATTGGTAGCAAATGGATGGTTAAAACATGATTCAGCTGTGAAAACTTTTACTCTCACTAGTACAGAATTGTAGATAGGCAACCATTGTAAAAGACAATAGGCGACCATTGTACAATGGTCGCCTATGAGAGACTCGCGGAAAGGCATCGACTTTACGCGACCATTGTGAAATAGTCGCGTATTGTTAGTAATATGCAACCATTCTTCACAAAGAATGGTCGCGTATTGTATATATATTTTTTAATTCGAAGGGAAAACACGACCATTTTGGGGGTGTTTGGTTATCGGCTTATCAGCCATTTTCTAGCTGATTTGACCAATTTTGGCTGATTGACTTGGTCAATCAGCCAAAATTAGTGTTTGGTAAAACAGCTTATTGGGATAGCTGATAGGGCCAACCAGCCGATTTTCTAAACGCTGCTGGGAGCAGCGTTTCTACATTGGCTGATCCCATTTCTTCTAAAAAACCAAAATTGTCCCTGATCTCATCTTCATCCCAAAACAATGGAAAACATTATTATTTCCTCCTCTTGTCTTCCCCTCCCAGGGAGCCATGGAACAGAACAGAGAATAGAAGAAAATTCAAAAATTAAAAATAAATAAAAATAATAATGAAACTGACTATCAACCCATCACAGAAATCATCTTCATCTTCAAAACTCATAATACACATAATACACAACAAACAAACAAACTATATTTTTTTAATTCACAAAAGAAAAAAAAAAAAAAAAAAAAAAAACAAACCAGATCTTCATCCTCTGTTTCTCGTCGTTGCCGCTTTCCTTTGCCATCGCCAGTCTCCTTCATCTTCTTCGTAGTCGCCCCAGTCTTCTTCGCTTCGCAATCCTGTTTCTTCGCATCGTTTGCAGAGAAAAATGGGTAGTATTGCGAATTGAATTAGGGATTTGTGGGTAATTAAGTGGGTTGGGTATTTAGTTATTTAATAATTAATAATAATAATAATAATAATAATAATAATAATAATAATAATAATAATAATAATAATAATACGGGAGGTGGGTGTGGGTAGACATTTGATATTTTATTTAATAATAATAATAATAATAATAATAATAATAATAATAATAATAATAATAATTACAGTAAAAATCATTTTGAATTTTAAATTAAAAATAATTTAATAATATTTTTTAAATATAATTTAATTATAGTTAAATAAACTAAAATAATTAACTTATGCCCTAGAAAAAGTATAGATGTTGGATTTAAATTTTATAATCATTTATGAATAAGAATTTATATATTTTGTTATATTTAAAATTTAAAATAACATAATACATTCATACCCTTAAATGTCATTTTACATGCAATAAGCTAATACTAAACAGCTAATTTACCAAACATTTTTTTATAACCAGCTAATACAATCAGTTGGTCAAACCAACTAACCCAATCAGCTATTAACTATCATCTAATTCGATCAGCTATCAGCTACCAACTACCAGCCATTTGCCAAACACCCCCTTTGAAGCTAGAAATGGTCGCGTTTTCCATTTTTATTATTTTAATAATTAGTCATCCGCGACCATTTTTTGCTAGGAATGGTCGCGGATGACTTTTTAATTTTTTAATTATTTATTTAATTTAATTAAAATCCCTAATTTTTTTTAATAATTCCTGTACCTGTTACAGCTTATTCAAAAATCAATGACTTCTTCAGCACCATAACCTTCAATTATACTCCCTTCAGGTCGATAGCGGTTTCTCACATATCCTTTCAATATTCCCATATATCTTTCAAACGGATACATGTACCTCAAAAAAACCGGACCACACATCTTAATTTCTCTCACCAAATGAATAATCAAGTGCACCATAATATCAAAAAAAAAAAAAAAAAGATGGAGGAAAATACATTTCAAATTGACACAAAGTAACAACCACATCAGCCTGCAAATCATCTAACACATCTAGATCAATAACTTTACTGCAAATAGCATTGAAAAAAAACAAAGCTTTGTTATAGCCCGCCTAACATGTTTCGGTAGGATGTCTCGAATAGCAATTAGTAACATGTGTTGCATTAATACATGACGGTCATGAGACTTCATGCCAACCAACTTAAGGTCCTTCATCGACACAAGTTTCTTAATATTTGACGAATACCCAGAAGGAACCTTGACACCATTTAAATAAGCACAAAAATTTGTTTTTTCTCTTTTTTGGATAAAGTATGACAAGTTGGAGGTAAGTATGTCTGCTTTTCTAACTCTTGTGGTGCTAACTTATCCCGTATTCCCATTTCAACCATATCCTTTCTAGCCTTAACACTATTTTTCGTCTTCCCTTGGAATGTTTAACAGTGTCCCAATAATGTTGTCACAAACATTTTTTTCAACATGCATAACATCAAGACAGTGTCTAACTGATAAATGCTAGCTCCCAATATGGTAGATCCCAAAATATAGACCTCTTCTTCTAATGAGTCGTTTGACTAGCCTTACAAGTTTTACCAAAATCAACATCAATATTCTTAACACGTTCATAAATAGTATCTCCAGATAAAGGTAAACGAGCAACTCAAGTCTCAAGATTTCCATTAAAAGTCTTTCTCTTCTTACGATAAGGATGACCCGTAGGGAGAAATGTCATGTGGCTCATGAACACATTCTTTTTACAATTACTCAACCATAGACTGGGAGTTTCATCTTCACAAATTGGGCATGCTTTAGCTCCTTTAGTAGTATAACCCGATAGGTTACCATAAGCTGGGAAATCATTTATTGTGCAAAAAATCATTGCACGTAAGGTAAATCTGCTTCGAGTATAAGCATCATACACCGGCACACGTCCATTCCACAAAATCTTTAAATCCTCAACAAGTGGCGCTAGATATACATCAATGTCATTTCCTGGTTGTTTAGGCCCTGATATCAACAACGACAACATGATGTATTTTCTTTTCATACACAACCAAGGAGGAAGATTGTAAACTACTAAAAGAACAGGCCAAGTACTATGTCGACTGCTCATGTTACCATGAGGATTCATTCCATCAGTACACAGTCCAAGTCTAAGATTTCTATTTTCAGAACCAAAATCAGGCCACCTCCTATCAATATTTCTCCATTGAGGTGAATCAGTTGGATGTCTCAATTTTCCATCTTCTTTTCTTCCAATAGCATGCCATTGCAAATTTTTTGCCTCTCTTGGATTAGCAAACATGCGCTTAAATCTTGGTATTACGGGTAAGTACCATAATACTTTGGCTGAGGGACCTTTCTTATTCTTACATGCATCTTTGTTTTTATAACGTGATGCTCCACACTTTGGACACACATGCAAGCCTTTGTAATCTTTCCAATACAAAATACAATCATTTGGACATGCATGTATCCTCTCAATGTCCATACCCAAAGGACACAACATTTTTTTTGCTTCGTAAGTTGAATTAGGAAGTTCATTGTCACCCGGAAGCATGTCTTTTAGTAGTTCTAATAATCCCGTGAAACTCTTATCACTCCATCCATTCTTTGCTTTTAAATTATATAATTTAAGCACTCCAAAACAATTCAATAATCTTCGTATGACTTGTTAGTAACTTGAGTCTCGTACGAGAAACCTGTAACTCAGTACAAACAAGAGAACACTTGATCATTGTCTTCAAACATGTAAACCACACCATCCTAAAATTTTCTGATTTCCCTTAATAAACATAATGGTAATCAGACCATAAATTTTGAAATACAAGAAGATTTCAAAATTCTAAGTTATTTTTATAACAAATTCACCAAGGGAGTAACTTGAGATTTTAGTACATAAAAATCTTTCGTAAGCTCTGCAGTAACTTAATCAAGAATAGTATATCCTGACAATATATAAAAATTATATTATATATATACCCATCACCTCCTCTGTCTTCTTAAAAACCAGAGTAATGAATAAGGAACATAAGACCCAATTATGAAAATTCTAAAAACGATTATTGAGTGTTGCATATGAAAATTTTTTACATACTAAAAATCTCAAGTTATTCCGTTGGTGAATTCCTCATAAAAACAACCTGAGAAATTTGACATCATTTTGTATCTCAAAAGTTCTAGTTTGATTACCTTTGTTGCTTAGTAAAGAAAATTAAAAATTGATAGGATAATGTGCTTCACACGTTTGAAGACAATGATCAAGTGTTTTTTTGTTTGTGCTAAGTCTTAAATTTGTTATACGAGAAAGTTATTGAAATGCTTTTAGAATTGAACAATCTTGAAATAAGAGGCTAAAAAGTAAAAAAATAATGTTGCGAAAGTGATTTTGATATAAGAAGGAGAATAAAATGTGAATTTCCTACTTTACTCCTAAAATTTTATATATTTTTTAATTTTTCCGTCAGTTTTAACGATCAGGGACCAAATGCGCCACTTCGCTCGTAACTAAGGGACTAAAAATAGATACGGTCATATCTCAGGAACTGAGTTGGAACTTGGGTATAACTTAGAGACCAAAGATACAATTCTAAAAACATAATAAGTGTGAATGGAAGTTATACCCCTGATTTATGTCCGTTTTTTCCTTTAAATTTTTTTGTACATTATGCTATAAAGGTTGTACATTAAAATATTTTGGACAAACATACCCATACCGTTATAACTTCCGTTATCTTTTCCACTATTGTTACCATGCACATGCATCCACCATATATTTTCTTATCTTCTTCATTAATAATAATATATACACATTAAATATTTGAGTTATATGTTAATTATTACATAAATATAAATATCAAACTTATAAAAATGATTTACATTATTATTATTATTATTTAGAATAATTTAAATATCTAAAATCTAAATAAATTTAAAATTTTAATATAATGTATTAATATTGGGCACCTATTTTTTGCGCATCGCGCATAAAAAAATACTAGTTTCCCTAATAATAATAATTAATCTTTATCTTATTTTTCTAAAAGCAAATTAAAATACACGCTCAGACACAACCTAACCCCTACTCATCTTCTCCGCCACCTCACCCGACGCACACTCTCAGGCTCACTTCTCTCATCGTCTCTGTCTCGCAAGTCGCAGAGGCGGACTAGGCATCACCGCTTCTCTTCCCTGGGCGTTTCCGTTCTCCTTCCTCGGCGTCTCCGCTACTCTTCCCTCGGCGTCTCCGCTACTCTTCCATCGGCGCCTCCGCTTCTCCTCCCTCGGCGCCTCCGTTTCTCCTCCATCGGCGCTCTCATCTTCTCTCCGCCCTAGGCGTCTTCGGCTCTCTGCATTCTGACCTCAGTGCTTTCGAAATCGAAGCCCCTCACCCAGCATACCTGCGAGGCAAACCATCGAACAGGTGATGTGTTTGAACAGCTTTATTGTAAAGTACGTGTTGACTTAGAATTAGGGTAGGATTTCACCTTTCAATTTCTCTCTTCCCCTTCATCTATCCGTTTCTTCTTGTTTAGCAAATTACTTTACCATATCAGGAATTAATAGGTCAATGCTAGCGTTACAAATGCAATATCTTATATTTGAATGATCTATGTGCATTTATACTTAACAATGAATCACGTTTTTAGGATATCGAAAAAACAACCATAAGACAATAACATTTATGAATGCACAGAATTTTCATATGTATATTTATTTTATTTTAAATATTTTGTATTTTTCAAGGTAAATAAAATGACAATAAAATGTTAACATATTAACAGTAACCGTATAAGCTTCTTTTTTTTTTTTTTTTTTTTTTTTTTTTTTTTTTTTTTTTTTTTTGGAGGTTTTCAAGATAAATAAACATGATAAAAGGGCATAGAAGGATTAAATAAGTGGTAGCTACCAATTTTGAAATAAGTCCAATTAGTAGTAGATTTAAAGGTGTAAAATCTGGTATGCTCAGAACTGTACCTTTATTTGCATCTATATGCTTCTTCCTCGTGCAACCTATGTTAACTGATCCCTTTTCCATGACTGTTTGTACTGCATTATCACTTTTTGACTTGCTTACTTGCAATTGAAAACCTTTTGTGATTCATGCTTGTAAATGCAATCTTATATATTTATATATATATACTGCTTGGTTAAGTGTTGTAGTAATTACTACTTGTTGTCATGATATTTTTACTGGAACAATATATGTCAGTTACAATTACCTGACTGATTTCCATCATTTACTCCTTTTACTCCTTTTTTGAAATAATCTTTATATATGAGACTTACTAAACACAAAAGGCAAATGATGATGCTACCATCTGATGCCTAAGCCATAAACATAAAATTGTCCGTTTGTGTCTGTAGATGAAGATAAAACTCACAGCATTGTGCCCAGTAATTAAAAGATTATAATTTAGAAAACGTAACTCTAAAAGTAAGATTTATCATAATATGATGTTTGATATACTAATTACTGTCTTTTGAATAATATCCATGATGTACAGTCTCAAATTAACTTTATATTTAAATCTAATCTAAGAGTTAATACTAGCCAAGGTCCCTTGAGTATACGGTTCCGCCACCTATGATCCTAAACTTTCAAATCAACCCTTCGTGATCCCCTATGTTTTGAACCATAGTCCTTCCGTTAGTGTTTTCTGTTTCAGTCGTGAAATGCGTGGGCATAATAGACCTTTCACATTTTTCCAAATCCTAGTTGCTTTTCTCGTCTTCCCAGCTTTGTTTTCTCGCTTTTTCTGGCTTTCGAGCTAGAATGACTGGGATGACACGCCCCCGCCGCCAACCGCCAACCGCCGCGGGGTCTGTTGTCGTCGCTTTCGTTTCATTTAGTTATTGCATTTGGAACGCCGTTGTTTACCTAGGGCCGACGCTTTTCACTTTTCAGGCTTTTTTTTTGTTTGGCCTTGAGAGGAATGCTAACAGAGATTCGCCTTATGCTCTGGTATGGATTCAGTTACCAAATTTGCCTTTCCATCTGTTTAATTTGCGTATGATTTCTAGTATTTGTGAGTTGGTGGGGAAGGTAGTAGCTCTAGATGCCGCGACTCTCAGGAGATCGAGGCCAAATGTGGCCAAGGACTAAGGCAAGGGTTGAAATTGACGTGACTAAACCTGTAATAGATCAAATTTGGGTGGAGATTGTGGGTAGAAGAGATGTGTCCGGCGGTTTCTGGCAACGAATTGAGCCGGAGAAGATTTCGGTATACTGTGCAACCTGCGGTCGTTAAGGTCATAGATCGGAAGATTGTTCGGTAAATGTTGAAGGGAGATGACCGGGAGGGGTGGATTCAGTGGCGGAGGAGGTTGGGGGGAAGGGAGGCGAGGGTGGAACAGTGGTGGTTGATGGTGGTGTTGACGCGGTTGATGGCGGTGAAGGGCAACGATCGTGAGGGAAATGGGCGGCGGAAATAAGAGATCCTTTGAGCCGCCGGCGGGTATGGTTAGGAACCTTCAACACCGCCGAAGAAGTCGCTATGGTTTACGACAACGCGGCCATCCAGCTGCGTGGGCCTGACGCGCTGACCAACTTCTCCGCTCTAACCGCTGCCGCCGTCGAGGCCCACCAGAGGAACGCAAGCTGCAACCGGTAGATTCCGGCTACAACTTCGGCGAAGAGTCCCACAACAACCAATGATCTCCCAAATCGGTGTTGTTCTTCAACGAAGAACCCGAAACGGAGTCGTTTCTTCCCCTATCTACCCTCAATTTCAAACCAAGCATGCCGACATATGACTACTTCTTGACGAACAACTCTCTTTGGGTCATCAAGAGCTTTTGATATAGCTTGCAAAACATGAAAAATGACAGCATAAAATTTCACTAAAAGTGGGTATAACAGAGCTGATGAAATTCTTGATTTAGAATTATTGGATTCGAGTAGGCGGCCATTATTACGGGAAGTTAGTATAAGATGTTTCTTTCTCCCTTAACAAAAAGCGACGAAGAAGAAATTTCATTTGGGTGAGCAAAACGTGAAAAGTCATTTATGCCCTTACATTTGACGGCCGAGATGGAGTTTATTAACGGAAGGACTATGGCAGGTCAATTTCGAAACATAGAGGATCACAGGGTTGATTTGAAAGTTTGGGACCATAGGTGGCGGAACCACTATACTCGAGGGACCTTGGCTGGTATTAACTCTTAAATCTAATAAATAAAAAGTTAACGGATGTACAGAATGAAATTAACTTTGCAGCTGTTCTCTAGATAACTATAGTTGAGCATAGCAATTGATAACTAAAGGTAGAGTATACAACTTTGAATTGCCATGTGACATATTGTCATGAATTCAATTAGGGTTTAAGGATTTGCAGATTTAGACATGAGTGCCCTGTCAATACAATCCAAAAAAAATATAGAATATTGAATATGATTAAGTCCTTTTCGGATATTGAATATTTTTTTCTAGAATATACTATTCAAATATTGAATATTTTTTTCAATTACAATTTGTTTACAATATTGAATAAACAGGCTTCTACAAATTAGATTTTTTTTTTTTGTTTGTTTTTGAATGTTTTTTCTACCACATCATTTTATACTTATGATTAAGTCTTTTGAGAGATTGCTTCTTGTATTTTACTTAATTTTTTTGGGACTTCATCATGTGAATAGATAAATTTGGATAACCACTTCATCATCTGAGACTGAGAGTTGATGGCTCTTGTTATCAAGAGGTAAACATGCAATATACATCTCCACTATCTTCCTGATGCATGAACCTTACTTTCACCAATGGTGTATATTTCTAGAATTCTAATCTTTTTCAAAAGAAAGTTGAAAGAGGATATAGAGCTTTACCAAAGATGCAGGTGTTCTCTATTGGATGCTTAATCTTCAAGCAACTATCTTCTTCCTCCTCCTCGTGAATGCTTTCCCAACATGCCATATACATCTCCACCATTTTCCTCCACTCTCCATATAATATTGCAATTGTAGCTGTGATTGTACATGTATTTATAATGATTTCAGTTTGTATATTTAGTTCAAATTCGGACATTAATTGTTTGTTATAAATATTTATTAGAGATTGAACATGCGTGGTAGTATAATTAAATAGTGCGGCCTAGGGATTCTCACATCACTATTAATTAAATCTGATTTCATTATGGGTGTACATTGGTAATACACAAACCTGAGAAAGTTAATATAACAACTATTTATTATTTCGGCTAAACCTCCTCAGCATCGCCAACGTAATGTAAAAGCATTTAATTTTTCGGCAATCAGCATCAGCATTAGCTCAAAATGGCATCGTTTTTATTGGGCGGGAAAATGTATTCCAAGAAGTTGTTTATTATTGAGTTAGATAGATAGATTATAAGAAGCCTTGTTGAGTGAGTTGCTAAATATTCGACATTGAAGGTTCTGAAGAGTTGAAGTGAAGCTCCAAAGACATGATTATGACTTTGATGACTCTAGCACTGGTTCTGAAGTTGGAGAAAAGGACAATCATCATTTTCGTAAGTTGTCACCTAGTGGACCTTTCTAACATGTCTAACTTTCTTATTTTTGTTTCTTAATTCATTTCTTTAATGATATTCAATCTTTTCTTATTTTTCAGTAATTGGCATTGAGTACAGAAAGCTTAGCTTGGCAGTAGAAGCAAAGATATTGGAACTAAATGTTGCCATCTGTATCAACAGGTAAGTGAAAAACTTGGCACTTTTATCTATTACTTTATCCTAGACTTGGCCATAAATATACTTGCAATGTGAAATTTGTGTAATCATAGACTTGGCCATAAATATAGTATCTACAACTAAGTGCAAACCAAGGTTTTAAAAGGCGAAGGCGTGCCTTGAGGCGTTTTGTAATTTGAGGCAAGGCGTAAGCCTCAATTTTTAGCCTCAGAATATATTAGTAAGTTGTAAACCTGTAAACATTATTCATAAAATTCACCAAAATATAAGATTAAATTCATTAGCTAAAAGTCTCAATATATATACTGCCATGGCCTACTTCGTATACACACAATATAAATTAGCACATTAACACGTTCTATATATATATATATATATATATATATATATATATATTAGCACATTAACATAATAACACTACTTATGTACTGCACTAGTGCTTACTGCCAAGTGGCAGTGTGGGATGCCAAGTGGCACTCACTAGTCACTCGAAGATATTAGATATATACACACTAACAATATAATACAAAGCACAATACATATATATAATACTCTCTACTCTCTAACAGCAGCCCAACAGGTTAACAACATAAAAAAAAAAGAAATGAACAAAACCAAGGTTTCGTTGAAGACTGAGGTCGCCGGAAGCTGGACGTCGCCGGAGGGGGAGGTCGCGTCGCACCTCAGTCGGCAATCGCAGCGCAGCTAGAGCTCACTGGTTTGGTTTGTCGTTTCGTTGTTTCACACTACCTCTACTCCTATTTTTAATCAGATTAGGGTTGAGAATATTTTCTATTGGGTTGGTATTTTGCATTGGGCTTTAAACAAATGAAATGGGGCTCTGAAATACTAAAAGAGCCTAAAACGCCTCATTTTACGCCTTAGACACGCCCTGAGGCGTACGCCTCGTAAGGTTGAGGCGTACGTAAGAGGCGTACACCTCAATGCTATATCCTTGCACCTCGCCTTGAGGCATGCCTCACATCGCCTTTTTAAACCTTGGTGCAGACTGCTACAACTTGTATTTCGAATTTGTTCCTATATTAGGATTTCTTTAATAATATGTGTATGTGTTATATATATCTAAGTGAAGTGATACCTGTTTGTGCATTTGCATGGAAAAAGCACCATAAAACCATAAACAGCTTACTTGAAATTAAAACAACCATTACATAGTACTTTGAAATGGTTAGCTACTGCAACAAATGCAATTTCCAGAACATAAGCTTCCAAAAACAACACTAAACACAGAGCACAAAAATTCACTCTGCCACTCCCATACTTAGTTGCTTAAAACTACACGCTTCCTATTTGGATACCAACTCTTCAGTCAGGTAATAGCCCACTCCCCTACAAATATGGCCTAAAAGGATACGTTTCTGATCGCAGCACATTAGCTTCTCTCCACTAATGTTAAAAAAAAAAAAAAACTATACGACGTCGTTTAAGATGGGCTGGAAAATGGAGGCATTTGATTTGCTAAAATCTTGTGGCTTTTATATAGATATATAGATATATAGATAGAATATAGATAGATGTATGTAAATGTATGTAGATGTATATAGAGAGAGGTTGATTGGTTTTAGATATGGACCATATAGTGTTGGTAATTTGGTATGGCGCATATTTTTGTTGCAAAACTATTGGTAATATATCAAGCGCATAGCCTTGTGGCAAAATTATTGGCAAAACTTTAGGTTGACAATACATCATAAGTCATTTAAATCATAACTCTCTGGCGGCATAATGTGCTCGGTGTTTAATTCTTCGTTGTGTTTTTTTTTTTTTTTTTAGTGCTCATGACTCTATTATAATGTAGTATCTGACTCTGTTATAATTCTTCGTTGTGTTAAGTTTTCTTATTTGATAAGATGAATTGTTTCATTTTGGATTTTGGACATATGTGTGTGTGTGTGTGTATATGTATATATTTATTTATTTATTTATAAATAAATAAATTGTAAATGTTGACATTTTAACTAAACCCTAAGAAAACAAAACGTAAGAAAAAGGAAAAAAAGGGAACAGAAAATAACAGTTGAGTCGCCACTGGCCCATAGCAGGTGGAGCAGTTATGAGGATTTCGAGAGCGGAGAATGGGCACAATGCAATTGGGTCACCCAAATACTCCAGCGGCGCGAAAAAGAAGTGCTCGAATTGGCTACCGATATTCGTAGCCTTTGTGGTCATAGCAGAGATAGCCTTTCTTGGTCGACTTGACGTGACCAAGAATGTTGACCTGGTCAACTCGTGGGCTCACTCGTTCTACCAGTTCACCGCCATGCCCTGGTCATCCACCTCCGCCGACGGCGGTGATGACCGTGGTTATTTCGGTGGCCGCTATCGCCGCTTCGGATACGAGAGCTGCGAAGATTGGTTGGAGAGGGTGGACGTCGTGACTTATACGAGGAACTTCGACAAAGACCCAATTCTCCTCCGTGCTGATAGCGAGGTTCGATTCTTATGCATAAACTTACACATTCCACTCTTAGATGATGATCATTTTTATTTATTGATCTGTATATATGAAGTTTCTTTTGCTTACCCATTAGGAATTAGCATATTGTGCTGTGGGATGCATAGTTGGGGGCAATTACAATAAACAGCCTGATGCAGTATTTGGATTGATGATTACAGCGCCTAATACAACAAGGGTGCTGCGATCAATGGAGTCATCAAAGTATTATCCTGATAATAACATTGCCAGTGCAAAAAGGTGGGTAAGAATACTGTGGAAAGCTACTAATCATAAGCCAACATAATAGTGTCTTCAAGTTTACGAGTTTGTTTCCATTTAAAAAATACCCTTCTTTTTGTAATGTATTTTATTAGAAGTCCAGAAATTTGATGCTCTGCTTAGATAAACAAAGTTTAGAGCCATTTCTTGGTGGATATGTTATTTGTCTTTTACTATCTTTTTTGGGTACCCGCAGCCACTACCTTAAGGTGTGCATTGAGTAAAACCCGCCTTGTGATCCTAGTTGGCAAAGGACCACAAGGAGGTAAACCAGTCTATGTTGCCCACAGCTGATAGGATTGTCTTTTACTATCTTGCTTTGCAGGAAAGTAACTTTACTAACTTTTAGCATCTTATAGGAGGGGATATGATGTTGTTATGACAACGAGCCTCTCTTCAGATGTTCCTGTTGGGTATTTCTCTTGGGCTGAGTATGACCTAATGGCGCCATTGCAACCGAAAACAGAGAAGGCTTTGGCAGCTGCTTTCATTTCCAATTGTGGTGGACGCAATTTCAGGTTGCCAGCGTTTGAAGCACTTGTAAGCGCAAACATCAGTATTGATTCTTATGGCAGGTGCTATCATAACAAGGATGGAAATGGTGAGTAGTATGGTTGACATTAAATTTCCCTTGTAAGTACGAAGAAGTTGCTACTCACAAGTAGCTAAATGTTCTTTACAACATTTACCTGGGATCTGGTCTTATCTCCTTTTCAAATTCCATTGATGTGGTATTTTACGTGCAATCTTGTATTCCAATATATTGTAGTGAACAAAGTGGAAGCACTGAAGCGTTACAAATTTAGCTTGGCTTTTGAAAATTCCAATGAGGAGGATTATGTGACAGAAAAATTCTTCCAGTCTCTTGTCGCTGGTATTAATCCTGATTATATTAACTATGTTCATTCTATCTACGTAAATTCTATTGACTGCTATATTTGAAGAACGTGAGATTTTTGTTATTGGCATAGTGTCGGCCATTGATTTTTTTTTTTTACCCAGTCTCTTGTCGTTGGTATTAATCCTGATTATATGTATTCAGTTTTCAATTCTAAAAGTGGCATGATTATAGTTCTTCATTCTTTTGCACTTGCAGTTTATATTTTTTTTTTTTTTAATGCATCTGTTGATCTTTTGGCAAGTGTATGTATTAGTATATGTTTTTTCAAAGATCAGGCTGGTAAACTGTTCTGATTAAGAGAAGTCAAAAAATTCTTCAGGTTCTATTCCTGTGGTAGTCGGTGCTCCGAACATCCAAGATTTTGCTCCTTCTCTAGGTTCAGTGTTACATATTAAAGAGCTATCAGATGCAGAAAAAGTTGCAAACACCATGACGTATCTTGATGAAAATCCCAGTGCATATAATCAGGCACTTAGGTGAGGAACTGTTAATGAAATTACACCTTTCCACCAAGAACTCACATACAAATCCACTCTCTAGGGAGGAGGCAAATTTTTTATTTTTATATTCTTGGTTAAGGTAATAGGTTGGGTGATCATTCTTAGGTGGAAGTTTGAGGGTCCATCTGTTGCTTTCAAGGCTCTCATTGATATGGGCGCAGTTCATTCATCATGTCGGTTGTGCATTCATTTGGCAACAAGGATTCGAGAGAGAGAAGAGAAGAGCCCAACTTTTAGTAAGCGTCCTTGCAAATGCACCAGAGGTTCAGAAACTGTTTATCATGTATATGTACGCGAAAGAGGGAGGTTTGAGATGGAGTCCATTTTCTTGAGGTATGTTTATTTGTAAATTTTACCGTGCCTTAGACCTGCTCAATGCTGCATTTTCATTTTGAGTACTCTTCTAGGTTTCTTTTAACGATAGTACTGATTGATTAATATAAACTTGTCACTGTCCACATAGACATCTCAAACGTGGATCTCCATTCAAATATGTTATATGCAAACAGAGTGGTTAGCTCTTTTTTGGTGATCTTCTTGAGTTAGTTCCCTTCATTCTGTTAACTTCCTCGATCTTTCGACAGGTCTGGTAATTTGACAATGGAGGCCTTTGAATCTGCGGTGTTATTGAAGTTCATGTCTCGAAAACATGTTCCCATTTGGAAAGAAGAAAGACCCAAAATGATAAGGGGAGGGGATGAGCTCACAATTTACAGAATATATCCTCTTGGAATGACTCAAAGACAGGCATTGTATAGTTTCAAATTTGAAGGGGATAATCAGTTTAGGGAACATATAGAAAGCAACTTGTGTGCTAAGTTTGAAGTCATTTTTGTATAGATTAGCTTCAAAATCTTCTGCCACGCTCATGGCTGATCTATGAGGGAGAATAATTTTTGTAGTTCTATGTGACATTTCAATTTTGGAGTTTTGGATTTTTGAATTTCACATCAGGATTGATTGTGGCAGATGGAGAAATGAGAAACACAACTTATTTCTTAATCTTCTAGAGGCATCATATCATTTGTTAAGAAGATGCGACCTTACACTCCATTCTGGTTAGTACTGTACAGACTTGCGTAACTCAGTGTGAAGCTCAGCTCAACTCAACTCTGTGCCCTGCACTTTCTCTAGCTTTAGGATTCCCGGGTTTGGTGTATAAGCTACGGAGCATAAAATTCCTGTAATGCATGCATGGCTTCCAAATTTTATAAATAGGGTCAGACAATTAGAGTCCAAAACTTGAGGCATACTGTTTTTGCCTAATTTCGGTTAGTGTTTCATCCTATGAGGACAGGAGGATTATATTGTTGCCACACTGGTTTTGGTTTTGCCTAATATAGAGCACTCTTGTCTGGATATAATAATAATTCCTTAATTTGATTAAACTTTGTACATAAAGATGTAGATCCTAATATCTATTCATACAAGTAATACTGAAGACTGATTCCTATGCCAGATTAGGCTTCTGTATGCCTGTATAATGATTCATCTATGTATAAGGATTAAGGGGCTAATATTTTGCTACCTTAGTACCGTGTCGTATTGTATCGTATTAACTTTTTGCTTGTTTGATAATGTTGTTATTCGTAACTAGAACTCCACCCGTGCGATGCATGGACAAAGTGTGTATATATATATATATATATATATATATATATATATATATATATATATATATATATATATATTTTGGTTCCTATGAGGTCATGTCTTCCCATGCGGTCAGTGCGGCATATACCATTAGGTATGTATAAATGCACCATACAGTGTTCGAAAATACACCAGAATAAAATGTCAAAAAATACACTACACAAAAAAAAAAAAAAATACACCACACATAATGGTGTATTTAGGAACACTGGGTTATGGAGAGTGATTTTGAATCAATTTAGTAATCTTGGAAAAACATATTTGCTAGGCAATTGACTTTTGCCATTAATTCCATAATTCATTTAGTTCTTGGAATTATGATTTTAGTTCTGATTGCCCATGTTTGGTTAAGTATGAATAAATGAATATTTTGTTTAAATTCATATCCTTTAGTTGGTTCATACTCTTTAGATTGTTTTATGCATTCGATCACATTAAGTACATAATATTAAGTTTAATTATGTAATTATTATGAGATTTTAATTTATAAATGCTAGCATATCCTTTTGGTTTGATATTGTTTGAATTTGTAAATTCAGTTATTTCTCATAAATTTGATCTTTATGCATTAAAACATTTTCCCATGGGCTTACAGTTTAAAAAAATTTAAAGTATATATTCAGTACATTATTATTCAAAATGTTGGGTCTCTTTTGGTTTGGACTCATCGGTGTTTGAATATTAAATTTATACTTTAAAATCTCATATTGTAAATTGCTTTAAGTTATGCAATTTATTTGGAATATATGAGTTTAATCTTTAATTTTATGCATATTCGTCCTAAGCATAATATTATGTTTTAAATTATGCAATTTTATTATGCCTTTAGCAATGCATACTTTGGGATGAAATTATAGTAGTTCCTTATTAAGTTGGACTTATGCATAAACTTTAGTTGCGGTAGTGCCTGAATTTAAGCACGTTTAGTCCGCTAATTTAGTTCACAATTTAAGCTTTAATCATAGGTGAACCCTACAGTTTTCTGGTGTATACCATACAGTTTACTGGTTTATACCCCAAAAAGTTATACATTAAGTATATATGAATCGGTGAGGCATACTAGTTTTAATGGCCATGACTTAAGAACATCTTGTGCCATTAGTCTCCTTAAATTGATATATACTCTATTTAAGGAATAGGTTTTCAGTGAGACTTAGTCTCTAACCACCTTTCCTTGGAGTATATTTAGATTTTCCCATCACAATCTGGTATAATCTGTTTGTCAAAATTTTAAGTATTCCTTGCCAATGTGATTTTATTTCGGTTCATTAAAGAATAGTCATAGCATCTTTAATTTACTGAAGTCTCTTAAGTTTTCAATCTTGGTTAATTAATGAATAGTTACGGCATATTCAGCTACCTAAGATTATTAAGTTTTAATCACATAAAGTTTAGGCAATAATTGATAATTGTCTAGTGATCTTATAATTTTAATTTGGTTTGGGAGTAGCCACAGCATCCTTAATCTGTTAAAATTATATATTAAGCGGTTTATTTTGATCACATAAAGTTTTGGACATATCATTTGTGATTAATTGTATGTAATATGATGAAATTTAGCCCACAGGCAATTTCGTTATATTTGTATAATTAATCAGGATGAAATACTGGACTACGGTCATAATTTAGCCCACAGGCAATTATGTATCGGAATGTAGTTTAGTAGTTTTATCAGTGACAATAGAAATAAATCAATTTATTTACTTTATGGTTATTTGTAAATAATTTCCAATTCTATCATGAAGTTTAATTTTATGATGTAAAATTTAGATCATATTTCTTAATTTGCCCACAGGGATTAAGAAAAGGAACATGATTTATTAAGTTTTTATCATAAGGGTTGTAATGAATCTTATTGAATAGAACTTTAGCCTACAGGCAAGTTTTATATCATTTGATTCTTCAACTCATTTGATAAATTGTTTCATCATAAATAAAATTTTTCAGTTAGGATCTAATTGAGTAAAACTTTAGCCCACAGACAAGTTTTATGTCACTAGATTCTTCTGGCTCTTTAGTAATTGTGAAAAATATTATCATAAGGGTTTCTTAATTGGATTTAATAGAATTAAAACTTTAGCCCATAGGCAAGTTTTATGTCAATAAATCCCTCAACCCATTAGATAATAATTTTATCACAATTCTTAGAATTTATAAATTTAGTTCAATTATAATTCTAAGCTTCATGATTTGCATTGGCAAAACATGTTTTTCAGTCACTTTCCAAAATTTAGTTACTTCTATTAATTAATCCACGAATCTTGCTCGGTTCTTCGGACTAACTGTTGTAAGTTACGTGATTTGACATACCTCTTGGATTCCAATAATGTTAAAATGTATCTTTTGAGCCAAATTCTACCTTGGTTTTGAAAGATGTATTTTGTTTTTTTTTTTTTTTTTTTTTTTTTTTTTTTTTTTTTTAGTATGTCCAACTATGGTGGGGAAATATATCTTCATTATTTAGTTGGACTTTAATTGGAACCAAAAATTAATTATTTAGTATGTCCAACTAATGGTGGGGAATTATGTCTTCATTTGTTAGTTGGTCAATAAATCAATTATGAGTATGTATATTATTAAGTTCACTTTATTAATTTCGCTGAAGAATGTTTTAATCAGTGGGAGTGATCATTTAGAAAAAGATCATTAAATTCCTCCACTAAAGATTTTGGATTTAATTATTGTATTCATACATTCCAAATTGGATTGTATGTTAAAAAATAAGTCCAAAATATTCCACAAGTATTAATCTTGTATTCGTTCATATAAATTCATAAGTTCAAATTATTGAACATTTGGTTGTGCAACATATTTATGAAAATGTTGTAACAATATTAAGGAATTTATTAAAACAAAAGCATTTAACTTGTGGTGCACTGTCATTTAATAAATTCTTCAGTGATTAATAGAGTCTTTAGTTTCTTCAAAATTGATCATGGACCATTTCGGTTGTAAGGCTCAAAACAATTTTGTGGAACGTATAAGTAAGACTCATTATGTTCAGTTCATTTAAAGTGAACATTGAAGTTATTTGGGAAGTTATGGTGTATGATTAAGATTCCAAATTTATGGACTTAGACCGTTGGTTTATTGTCTAAGTTATTGGAATTCTTCTGTGACTTGACTATCTTTTGGCTATTTTTGATGAGTGGGAGTGACAAACGTGTCAACTCCAAGCTCTTAGCCGTTAGAGATAGTACTTAAAGTTAACTTATAAAGAAGTCATGGAATATAGTTAGCATTATGCTAACATTAAGAGATCTCTACTTAAGGCATGCTTATAAAGTTTTAGAGATCATACAGTGTACTCTTTTGTACAATTTGGATGTGTTTTCTCCTTCAGTTGTGCACATAATGTATTTTGAGAAACATCCCTTAAGGTACCGAGAATAAACATAGGGTTTGTTTATTAAGGACCTAAGTTGGAGAATTAAAATGCATGTGACCATAATGGGTACTACTCTGATTAAATAGAGGACATATCACTATGATTCGTGTGTTTTGTTCTTTGATGAAGGTTGTGCTTAGTACTTGCACCAAGTGGGAGAATGTAAGATTTTTCCTAATAATATATATTATATATTATATATTATATATTATATATTAGGGCCTTAATTAAGTGGTGCAAGTTGACTAGGCTTATTAAGTGGTCTGGTTGGACTTAATAACTAGTAGTTGTTAGTCAACCAAACTCTGTGCCTAATATAATCCTGGATTGATGGGATACAGGATGTTGGATGTTAGCACATTCAGTTACGGTACTCAGACTGCTCAGTAGATACCAATACACCATCTAGGGTTCTGAGTCAGGTTTGAGGCAACACAACAGGAACATCAACTATGGCTGGAGATCAACACGGCTACGCTTCCGCTATCATACGAGGTCAGGTTTCTCGTATACTATGGTTTATTATAGTTAGACTATTGTATATCTAACATTTGGTGTATATATATATATATATATATATATATATATATATATATATATATATATATATATATATATATATATATATATATATATATATATATAGTTGCATTCAAATACAAACCCCCTTAAAATACAAACCTCCCTTAAAATAAAAACTTGAGCTCGTACACACCTTAACATACTTACATGCGCACAAGGCGCACTCCAACAATTTCTGGGATTAGCTCGTGCACACATTAACATACTTACATGCACACAGCGCGTAGGAGGA